CCCCTTCCCACCCTACCCTGTGATCCTGTCCCTGTACACATGCACCACTATCCTCTCCCCTCTGATTTCAGAAAACTTCTTTCAAGCCTCTTATTTCCTTCCTTCCTTCCTTCCTTCCCCACCCCCTCCTCTTTATTCTTTATTGTGGTAAAAGGCATATAACAAAGTTTACCATCTTAACCATTTTTAAGTATACAGTTTGGTGAAATTAAGTACATTTACAATGTTGTGGAACCACTACAACCATCCATCATTATAATTTGGTCATCTTCCCCAACTAAAACTCTGCACCCATTAAATAACAGCTCCCTGTTCCCTTCTCTCCAGCCCCTGGTAGCCACAATTCTACTTTCTGTCTCAGTGATTTGGTTACTCTAGGTACCTCATATAAGTGGAATCATATAGTATTTGTCCTTTTGTGACTGGCTCATTTCACTAAGCACAATGTCCTCAAGGTTCATCCACATTATAGATTGTGTCAGAATTTCCTTCCTTTTTAAGGCTGAATAATATTCCATTGTATGTATAGACCACATTTTATTTATCCATTCATCTACGGACACATGGGTTGCTTCCACCTTCGTTCTTTTTTTTTTTTTTTAAAGATGAACGGTAAGGTGATCTTAACCTTTGACTTGGTGTTGTCAGCACCAAACTCTCCCAAGTGAGCCAACAGGCCATCCCCACATGAGATCCGAACCCGTGGCCTTGGTGTTATCAGCACCGCACTCTCCCGAGTGAGCCACGGGCTGGCCCGACCTTCCTTCCTTTTTAATTTTCTAAAAATCTCTGGGATAAATAGCATGATAATAATTATTCAGGGAATTTTTTTGTTTTTTTTGTTTGTTTGTTTGTTTTTTCCTTTTTGTCTTTTTTCGTGACCGGTAACAGGATTGCAACCCTCGGTGTCGCGCCCACACAGCGCTCAACCAGTGAGCGGACCAGTCTCCACATGGGATCCAAACCCTTGGCGGGAGCGCCGCCACACTCCCAAGTGCCGCACTCTACCGAGTGCACCACCGGGCCGGCCCTCAGGGAATTTTATTTTATTTTCCTTTTTTTTTTTTGTCTTTTTTCGTGTCTGGCAACGGATCGCAACCCTCAGTGTCACGCCCGTACCGGACTGGGACCGGCAACGGGATCGCAACCCTCGGTGTTGCTCCCAAACCTCGCTCAGCCAGTGAGCGGGAACCGGTCTGCATGTGGGATCTGAACCCTCGGCCGGAGCGCCACCGCGCTCTCAAGCGGCGCACTGTAGCAGTGCGCCACCGGGCCGGCCCGCCTCAGGGAATTTTAAAAGAAAAAATCATCACCTATGGTGCCACCGCCCTTCATATATGAACTGTTTCCATTTTTTATATTCTCTACCAGTTTTTGTTCATATATGGTCGTTCTTAGTGCACATTCTTAGGCAGTCCTATTTTCTGCTGTACTTGGAGCTTAATTTTTTTTTATGTTAAAATGTTGCCTTATGTTGGACTTTTTGACAAATGAGTTCAAGATAGTACATCAAGTTAATGTACCACAACTTTAAAAAATTATTTCCCAGTTGGCTGTTTATAATTTTTTTTTCATCATTTTGAATAATGAAATTATTTTGAAATTTTTTGGAATCATTTATATTTCCATTCCCTCCCTCCCTTGCTTTGGATAAAGTCCCAGGAGTGGGCTTATTAGGTCAAAGGAATGAATGGTTTTAAAACTCTCAAAACATACTGAGGTCATACTAATTGAATTGCACATTTACAGAATTTGAGGGTCCTAGTTTTGCCATAGCCTCACCAGTCCTGGGTATTATTATTTAAACACTAATTTTACAATATAATAGAAAAGTGATAATCATTATTTTCACTCACATTTGATTACCAGTAAAGTTAAATTCCCCCCTAATGTTTACTCCCCAGTTCTTTCCTTTTGAATTGCCTGCTCATATCCTTTAGCAAATTATCTCATGGAGAGTCATGTTTTTTTTATTTGTACTTGCTCTTTATATGTGATAGACATGGATATTTATTGGCCTTTTTAATGGAATTGTTCCCTTTCTCATCTGTTTTTCTTTCAATTCCGTGTGTGCACACCCAACCCACAATGGCAGTGTTGATGTTGTCAAATCTGCCTTGAGAAGGAAGGACTGTTTTTCCCTCTTTATATCCCTGCTGGTGCCCAGCCCACCGCTGTGTTTCTGGTAAATACTTGATCGACAGAGTGTGGGAGGCAGGTTGGGAAGACTTCTGCAGTTTCTGCTCTGGACCAGAAATCACCAATCCATTAAGCAAGTTTAGAAACCAATGGGTTTGGGGTTGTAAATTATAGATGCATCAAACTCTGAACTGCGCAGAGCCCCCCTGCATTCCAGGGATTTACTTTCCATTGTGAGCTGTCTCCCTCATTCATACTGCTAGGCTGAGCTCCCTGCAACAAGGCCTAGCACAGTGCTTCCAAAAGTTGTGGGTGCATTTCTGATGGTGCATGACGTGACTTTGGGGTCTGTGAGCAAGCACTACTTATTATGGCCTGGGACAATGCTAAAGGTAACGTGACTCTTAAAATTGTTGAATACGTGGCACAAAGCTGTTGCAGAAGCAAAGGTCGCTGACGGAGCATGGGTGGCCCTGGGAGGCAGACAGGCTCAGATCAGTGTCAGCCTGGCTGTTTGCTAGTTGTAGGACCTTGGGTAAGTCCCCTCAGCTCTGAGCTTTTGTTTCTTCTTTCCTTAAATGGGGATCATGCCTTCCTCATTGCACTATTATAAGGTCTAAGAAAAGACCAGACATCTTTCAGAGCACCCAGAGCAGTGCCTGGGCTCCAGGTCTTTTGGTTGTAACTCGTGACAACATGCATGGCATGACATCAGAGTAGCCATCCCCTCCTTCTTCCCTGCAGAGTGTGGGGATGTGCAGGACCAGCTTCCTCAGTCCTGTTCACTCTGGAGTTCCTCCTCCTAAATGACATTGAACACCTGTTGTATGCCAGGGATCTGTGTGGAGAGGCCGGGGATAATTGAGTCTAGCCTTCTAGTCACCCCACTCCTCACGGCAGACACTTGGCCCTTTGCTCTGGACTCTTATTAGCTTGGGTCAAAGGCTCGGTGTAGAGTGGGCTTGAGGGCGTCCCCTATTGGTAGGTAGATTTCACAGGCTCCCAAGCCTCTCAATCCCTCAAGTGAATGATCAGCCCCAGCAATCCAATGGACATGTTCTCAAATTCTGCCAGCTTTATTTTTCAGTTGAAAACTCAAAGGAGAAGCCTGCTCCCCAGAAGAAAGTAAAAAACTTTGATTGCTGCATCTTGGGGGCCTGAGTACCAGTGTTGGTACGTCAAAGAGGAAAGCCCCCCTCCCTGCCCCCAGGTTTCTCATTAAGGGGCTTGGGACTGCCAGTTCCCCTCAAGGAACCTCATGCCTCCTGAGGCCCCTGAAGCAGGCAGGAGCCAGTGCCATGCAGCTGGGAGAACCTGCTTCGTGTCTACCTTCAGGGTGGTCAGCTCAAGGCTTGCGCAGAGGAGGCTGCAGACATAGCTGCTGGGCAAGGATGGTTGCTGGAGTGGAGCTCCCTTTCCAGAGGTGGGGCTGCTGGCCAGGCTGTCTCCTATCTGACAGCATCAGTGTTGAGGACGGTCGAGAATTAGCTAGACCAGTTGGGGAGTCTGATGTCTCCAGGAACATTTTGAAAGCACTGGCCAACAGCTCCTCTTTCCTGTGTCTGGAGCAAGTGCAGTTTTCTCTGCATTCCCTGGCATTTCATGTGGGTTGTTCTGCCCCAACCAAGAATCTTGACCTTGCCAAGGAGATGCAATTTGTGGTAGAAGGTGAAGGAGCTTGAAATCTCTGGCAGCCTGGTGCTGTCTTAGGCAAAATCTCACACTGTGGAGAAGAGAAGAGAAGAGAAGAGAAGACTGTGCTGTGGGGTCTAGAGGAAAGGGGCCCTGCTGCTTCCTGGAATCATGCCGGGGGGCCCTGTTATAGCCCCTGACCCTCATTAAAAGGACAACTCCCCACCCACCCCCATCCATCACCCTCTCCCCTTTTTGTGAGAGCAGCAGGTATGGTTGGATGGTTCCCTACACCTGCGGGGTACTGTGCAGGCAGCAGGTGCTAGGCCTAGCTCGCTGACTCCCTTGGAAATTGAACAAGCATCTACCAAGTGTTCGCTTGGTGTCAGACCCTGCCCTGAGCATCTTGGAGACAGAAGACCAAGCATCATGTCCAGACTGGGAAGAGGGCTGAACCTCAGCTTTGGGAGCACAAGAGGATACACCTAACCCAAAGTGGGGGATAAAGGCATTTTGTGGGGGCGATGCTGGAGCTGAATCCTAAAGGGTAAAGAGGAAGTATCCAGGAAAGCAGCATGGACATTTGCATGGTTCCAGAACATCTGGTGACCTCTGAACGATTTCTCTACATTTGCAGAAAGAGCCAGCTCTACCTCTTGGATCTCAGGCTCACAATAGGGTCATAGACCCCAGCGGACTCTCCGCACCCTCTGTAGACAGTCGCCATTAGCAGGTGACTTCTACAAGAGTCTTTTTTCCAGGCTCTTGTACTCCATTTCTTTTTCTGGTCTGTGTGGATGGGATCATCAATATGGAAACAGTGACACAGGACATCTGTGTCTCATTTGCTAAGAGAATTGTTTCGAAATAAAATGTGGGCATTGGAGAATTTTATTAAATGCCTTTGTCATTTATTTTTATTATACTCTGGGGTTTTTTCCAGATAATTTTTAGTAATTAGTAAATTAGTAACTTTAATTTAGTAATTCACTTAGTAAATTAATTTAACAAGTTAGTAATATAGTAAATGATTTCTAGTTCCCTGGCAAAATTTACAATCTGATCCTCCCTCTGGGTTTGTGTCTGTTGTCTCCTTAAGAGTCTTTGTTGTTTTATAACTACAGCATTCATAGTACAGTGTTTATTGTTGTATCACCATGCCGAGCATGAAGAACGTGCTCAGTAAATTTTTTTAAAAGTTTTTTTAATTGGGCGTACAGTGTTTATTGTTGTATCACCATGCCGAGCATGAAGAACGTGCTCAGTAAATTTTTTTTAAAGTTTTTTTAATTGGGCCCGGCCCGTGGCTCACTCCGGAGAGTGTGGTGCTGATGACACCAAGGCCCCGGGTTCGGATCCTATATAGGGATGGCCGGTTCGCTCACTGGCTGAGCATGGTGCTGACAACACCAAGTCAAGGGTTAAGATCCCCTTTCTGGTCATCTTTTTTTANGGCTGAGCGTGGTGCTGACAACACCAAGTCAAGGGTTAAGATCCCCTTTCTGGTCATCTTTTTTTAAAAAAAAAAAAGTTTTTTAAATTGTAAAATACATATAACATGAAATGTACCATCTTAACCATTTTTAAATATAGTTCAGAAGCATTAAGTGCATTCATATTGTTGTGCAATCAATTTCTAGAACTCTCTACATCTTGCAAAACTGAGCCTCTATACCTATTCCCTCCTTCCCCCGGCTCCTGGCAGTTACCATTCTACTTTGTGTCTCTATGAATTTGACTACTCCAGGTATCTCAGATAAGGAGTCATATAGTATTTGTCTTTTTGTGACTGGTTTATCTCACTGAGCATAATATCCTCAAGGTTCATCCATGTTGTAGCACATGTCAGAATTTCCTTCCTTTTTAAGTCTGAAGATATACCATGTTTTGCTTATTGACTCATCTGTCAATGGACACTTGGGGCTGCTTCTACCTTTTGGCTGTTGTAAACAATGCTGCTATGAGTATTAGTGTATAAATATGTGTATGAGACCCTGTTTTTACCTTTTCTGGGTATATACCCAGAAGTGGAATTGGTGGATCATATGGTAATTCTGTTTTCGACTTTTGGACAGACTGCCATACTGTTCTCCATAGTGGCTGCACCATTTCACATTTCCACCAACAGTGGGATTCCAAGGGTTTCAATTTCTCTACATTCTCACTAACACTTATTTTCTGTTCTGATTATAGCCATCCTAATGGGTATGAAGTGGCATCTCACTGTAATTTTGATTTGAAAATAGTTTCATCCCGTAAATTGCCTTTTCACTCTGTTGATAGTGTCCTTGGATGTAGTCCAGTTTGTCTTTTTTTAGTGTTGCCTGTGCCTTTGTGCCTTTGGTGTCATATCCAAGAAATCATTGCCAAATCCAATGTCATGAAGCTGTCCCCCTGTGTTTTCTTCTAAGACTTTTAGCTCTTACATTTAGGTCTTTGACCCATTTTGAGTTAATTTTTTTTATATAGTATATGGTAAGGGTCCAACTTCATTCTTTTGCATGTGGATATTCACTTTTCCTAGTATCATTTGCTGAAAAGATCTGACCATATATGCAAAGGTTTATCTCTGGACTCTATTCTATTCCAGTGGCCTATTTGTCCATCTTTATGCTGGTACCACACTATTTTGATTACTGTAGCTTTGTAATTAAGTTTTGAAATTAGGAACTGTGAGACTTCCAGCTTTGTTCAAGATTTTTTCGGCCATTTGGAGTCCCTTGAGAGTTTCAGAATGGATTTTTCTATCCCTGTTGACATGCCATTTGGATTTTGACAGGGATTGCATTAAATCTGTAGATCACTTTGAGTAGTATTGACATCTTACATCTTCAATCCATAAACATCAGATTCCTTTACATTTATTTGTATCTTCAATTTTTTTTCAGTAGTGATTTGTAGTTTTCAGGGTACATGTCTCCCTTGAAGGCTGCATTGGGGAGGAGGTGGCATGAGGGCGAGCAAAAACTCCATGAAATCTCCTACAATTTTGAGTGCGGCTTTTTCTTGCTTGCTTAGGCACTCACTTGGCTGCTGCTGTTTCTTGTTTCTAGAGTTCTCGTAAAGCTACTGTGGTCCGTATAGTGTTATATATTCCGTGGGGCTGCGAGGGCCTGGAGCTTCCTAGTCTGCTCTCTTGCTGAGGTCACTTGGTCATCCCCTGGATTTTGACTGAGATGTTTTCAACATATATTTCCCAGTGCTACTAGCTGTCCTACCAGAAGGTGGTTCTAAATTACCTACTTCAATATACTAGTGTTAAGCCATCCTTGGATTACAGAAATTAATCCCAGTTGGTTATGATGTTTCATTAGTAGTTCATTTGTAGTTTTAACATTGTTGAATTTTTGTTACTAATGTATTAGGAACATTTATGTTCAACATCAATATATCAGACATCCATGTTCAAGTGTGGAGTAGGTAGCTTTTAATTTTCCTCTCTTGCCTTGTCCTTATGGGATTTTGGTATGCTGAGCTAATACTAACTTCACTAACATGCATTAGAAAGAGGAAGGTTTCATTTTTCTATTTTGGAACAGTTAAGTTATTACAACTTGCCTATAAAACTATCTGGGTGTAGTGTTTTGTTTTCAATTTTTAAGACTTTTTATTTAGAAATAATTATAGATTTGTAAGAAGTTGCATAGATAATATACAGAGGTCCTATATCTTTCATCCAGTTTCCCCCAATGGTTACATTTTCTATAACTGTAGAAGAGTATCAAAACCTAGCAGTTGACACTGGTAAGATATGTGTGTATATACCTTGGATGACACTTTGTCACATGTATACATTCATGGAACCTCCACTACAATCAAGATACAGAGCTGCCCCTTTACATCACACCCGTCTCTCTCTTCCCACCATCCCTGACCCCAGCAACTACTACTTTTCTTCCATTTTTATGATTTGTCATTTCAAGAATATTTAAATTGAATCATACAGCATGTGACCTTTTGAGATTTTTTTTTCACTTAGTATTAATGCCCTTGAGATCCATGCAAGCTGTTGCATGTATCCATAGTTCATTCCTCTTATTGCTGAGGAGTTTCATGGTATGGATTTACCAGTTTGTTTAAACATGCACCTATTGTAGGACATTTTAGTTGTTTCTAGTTTTGGGCTATTACAAATAATGGTGTTATGAATAATCATGTACAGGTTTGTGTGAACATGTTTTCATTTCACTGGGATGACTGTCCAGGATGTAATTGCTACATCAAAGGTAAATGCACATTTAACCTCAATTTTTTATTTTAACTGTTTTTTTTTTTTTTTTTTTCCTTTTTGTCTTTTTATCGTGACCGGCAACGGATCACAACCCTCAGTGTTGTGCCCGTACCGGACCGGGACCGGCCACGGGATCGCAACCCTCGGTGTTGCTCCCGCCCCTCGCTCAGCCAGTGAGAGGCCGGTCTGTATGTGGGATCCGAACCCTCGGCGGGAGCGCCACCGCGCTTCCCAAGCGGCGCACTACAGCAGTGCGCCACCGGGCCGGCCAATTTTAACTGTTCTAATAGGTGTGCAGTGTTACCTCATTTTCCTAAGGCTGGCATTGCTGAACATCTTTTCCTGGGCTTATTTGCCATCCATACGTCCTCTCGGGTGAAATGTCTCCATGTATGTTTCCCATTTTGTACTTAATTTTTTACTTTTGAGTTGTAAGAGGTTTTGGTTTTTTTTGTTGTTGTTGTTGTTGTTATTGTTTTGTATTCCAGATATGAGTCCTATGGTTTGCAAATATTTTTTCCCAATCTGTAGCTTGTCTTTCACACAGCAAAGGTTTTTAATTTTGGTGAGGTCCAACTTACTGATTTTTTTTTTCATGAATCATGTTTTTTTTGTCATGTCACCAACCCGGGCTTTTTTTTTTTTTTTTTTTTTTTCTTTACAGGTACATCAGATTCAGTTTATTTAATAGGTAAGAGATTCTTTGGATTAAATGTTCTCAAATTAGTTTGGACAAGTTGGATTTTCCTGGGAAATAACTGAATCTGTGTTTTATAATTTACCAGCAAAGTTAGCGTCTTTTGAAATCTCTGCTGGATCTGGAGTTTTGACCCTTTGCTTAGTCCTAGTATCGTTTATTTGTATTTTCTCTTTTTTCTTGATCCTTTTCTATTTTTCATTTATTTCCTATTTCATTAATTTCTTCCTTCTGCTTTCCTTGGTTTAAACCAGGGATCAGCCAACTTTTTCTGTAGAAGACCAGATAGTAAATATAAATATTTCTGGCTTTGCAAACACTCCCTCTGCTCCTGTAGCAGGAAAGCAGCCACAGATGGTACGTAGAGGAGCGTGTGGGGATGCGTCCCTTGAGTAAATGTCCATTAGTGCCAAGGCCACTTTCAGACAGATCGGTGCTGGGAATTTATTTCATCTTTAATCTTAAATAATAGCTGAACTAAGCATAAAATTTAACTTGACATGTATTTTCTGTGAAGGCTTTAAAGATTTATTCCAGTTGTCTCCTTGGAAAATCATCTCTTTTCCATCCTCTTTGGTAGCTTTTACGGCCTTTGGTTTCCTGCAATTCCATTCTGATGGGTCTTGGGATGGAGTTATTCATAGCACATGAGATACCTTGTGCTTCCTAACTCTCAGGAATTGCTGTTAGACCCTCTCCTTCCATCCTCCCTCTGTCTCGTTAATTTTCTCACCTGCTGTTGAATCTGTTAAGTCTTAAATTTCTAGAAATTATTTTTAGTACTATGCTTATCATTTTTTAGTTTCTTTTTTAAATGTCTTCAATCTCAGACCTCTGAGAGTCCTGGCCTGTTCCTATTGTTTATTGCTGCTGACTTCTGTGCCCGCTCAGCAGGGCTTTAGCCGTGCGAATCTTTTATAACATTGGTTGAAGGTCTGCCCCAGGGGGCTTCCAGACATTGTAGCTGGTGTACATTCAAATCCCGATTGTAGGTCTGTGATTATAAATTTTCAGGAGGTGACATTATAGGATTCTCTAGACTCTGAGCCTGGTAGAGGGGTGGGAGGTATGGGATGGTCTTTGGGCCTCCTTTTCTCTTTGTTTTGACCCTTAGCTCCTTGAATGACCATTGAGTGCCTGTCCTGTCCTCCCTGGCAAGAGCTAAGAGAAAGGGACTTTTCCTCTGGGATGGAAGGCAGAGGCCAATCAGACAGGGGGCAGCTTACCACACTGTGGAAGAAGGTCCAGGGGCACGAAGCCCCGGGCACACAGGTGGATGTAGGCGGCTGCCAGGTTGCAGGCAGCTTGGAGCTCCTGGGTTCCACAAGTGTCCTGGATGCACAGGCTGAGGAATGGTGTGGGGTCCACCTGAAATCAGCACCACACCTGGTCACTGCCCCTGCCCACTGCAGTCTTAGGAGGGGCACAAGCTAGATCAGGGAAGGGGGCCTTCTTTTGCCACATGGTCCATCCTCTGCGTGGTTTCCTACAGGTGTCCAGCCTCACACTCACCACCGGAAAGCAGCTCCCTAGGCTGGAGCGGGGGTTCTGGAAGAGGTCCCGACAGGTGGGGCTTGGTCCTGGACATGCCCTCAGAGTCTTCTCTGTGGCCCTGCAGTCACCTCCCACCTGGTAAGACAGACTTAGGCCTCTCGCCAGACCACTTTTCTTGGCCTCCACAGGGGACGCCCCACACACTGATGCTTCCCTCCCTAGGGCACACCTGGCCCTGTTTCTGGATCTCCAACCCAACCACAGGCCGATGCATGGCTCACCTGCCAGGCTAGGCTGAGCTCCTCCAGGCTGCTGGCCACCGTGCCATCCGGCAGCAGCAGCTCATCTCCTGCCTCATTGTCATTGGTGCCCAGAAGGCCAGCGGATACACCTGTGAGGATAACAGGAGAATGGAAAGCGTGAGCGCTGCCAGGCTGGAAATGGGGCCAGGCTCAGCAGGAAATGATCACAGTAGGGAGAGATGGCCGTTGAGGTTCTTCCTGATTCTGAGCCCCTGGCAAGGACAGGGAGAAGGCCGCCCATGGGGATGTGTCACCCTCAGCCCTGGAAGCTGACCATGGTCTAGGCAGGGCCAGCCCCACTGGGGCCCTGACCCACCGTGGTACCAGAGGCCCAGAGTCAGGCTGCAGAGACCAGCTTGGACATCGCAGGAGATGGAGATGCCATCCTTGCTGGTCAGTTCGATCCTGGGGATGTCTCTCCTCATCTTGGCAGGAGGCAGATCGAGGTCAGGACAGCTCACCCCAGGCACGGAGGAGTCGTGCAGACTGTAGGTCTGTGGGCCAGATCGGGGCTGACCAAGATGTCTAACCGCTGGCCGGGTAACAAGCTCAAACGTGCTGTCCCCTTGAGTAACCTGCTGGGCCCCTCCCACTCACCTTCAGGCTGGGATAGAGGACGAGGGTCGTGTGGTTGAGCTCTATGGAGAGAAATGTGGGCCCTGAGCCCACCCGGCTCAGCGTCAGCGAGAACGTGCCGTGAGCAAAGTCCTTGGCCAGCAGGAGACTGCCGCACTGGGCGCCGAGGCCCCACACCCGACCATCGAAAGTCACCACGTGCCGGTCCCCGGCCACCACGGCATGGTCTGGGGAGAAGAGGCCCAAGGGCAGGCTGAGCGGAGCCCCTATGTCTGCTGGGCACCCCCAGTGCTTAGGCCTCGTAAGGAGATGGGGTCTGTCCCAACAGCCAGAGCCCCAGGGATCCCAGCCTGGCTTCCAGTGACTTGAGCTCTAGGGACTCCCCCAGATGAAACAGTCTGCAGCCAAAAGGATAATAAAAGAACGCAGCACTGACTCCTTGAAAACTTTATGCTAAGTGGACAAAGGTCACATTTTATATGATTCCACTTATATGAAATGTCCAGAGTAGGCAAATCCGTGGGGACAGATGCACAACTCTGTGAATATACTAGAAGCCACTGAACTGTACACTTTAAATGGGGGGCTTATAAGGTGTGTGAATTTTCTCAACGAAGCTGTTGGGGAAAAAAAAGAAACACTATTTAAAAAAAAAACCATATGGCCAAAGCTTCCATCAGACAGGAGGTAGGTGCCCCCCAGCGCTGCCACTGAGCTGTGGCTGCATGGGGTGGGGAAGGGGCTGAGGGTCACAGGTAAGCCCGAGGCCACACATGCTGTTTCTACAGTGTCACCATGCCACCTAGATAGGAACGTACTCCCAACTCTAGGGAGGCTCATACCTGCCCTGGATTTGAAACCCTCCCCTGCCTTAAGGGCTTGGGCACAGGAAAATCACGTGCTCATTACCCATAAGAGCAAGCCACATTACCACCTCCGCTTTACAGACAAGGAAACTTGAGTCCCAGAAAGAGCTAGCAGACCCACCCCATCACACAGCCAGCATAAGCCAGATGCAAACTCCCCTGGGGCTCCAGGCCTGCAGAGCCATATCCGGCCAGCACAGTCTTGGCTGTGGGCCCTGCCTGCCCTGCAAGTCTGGATTCAATCAGTGACCTTCCGGCTACAACTGGAGATCTGCCTTCTGCTTCTCCACAAGGTCCATGGGGAAGGAGCTGGCCTGGAGACCTTGACCACTCTCCACACCTCTCTACTGGGTCCCAGGCCCGACTCTTATATGCTGGACAAAAGCAAGATCTGTAGTGCTAGGCCTGGTCCCATAAGACCTTTGGAAGTCCAATAAGCTCTGGGCCTGGCCCCATGGTGCTACAAGCCTACCAGGCTTCCCTGTGCCACCAGGCAATGGGCCACTCTGTCTGCCCTGCACCATCCTGCTGCCATGTCCCCCAGGGCGGGACTCACACTCCAAGGGGCTCCCCCACAGGCGGCGTTTGAGCCGATAGTACTCGGCAAGCACATTGGCCCTGTACAGTGCTTGGAGCGGCCGCAGCAGCTGCTCCTCTAGCAGGTAGCTGGTCACCCGGGCCACGTCCAGGGGCTCATTCTCCACAGGCAGCAGTGGCAGTGTCACCAGCACTGAGCAGTTCCTGGAGGGACACAGAGGAGCTGGGAGGCCCTGGGAAGCCGCTGCCTGTCTGACCCTCACTCCCTTAGCTACAGAAGGGCGATGTATCAGGTCCAAAATAAACTCACTTCAGCAGCGAGCACTGTAGCTGCTTTTAGGGAGGGTGCTGCCTTTGTTTTGGGAGATCCCACCATGAGGCAGATGTGGACCTGGGCCGGCTAGGGAGGGGACGTGGACGAGCATGCCTGATCTCAGGGGCCTACACACATTCTCTGCACCCCCAGGGCTGGGCAGGGCTGTGTGTGTGGACACCGAGGGAGGTGAGGGCCACATCTGGGCTCTGTGAGATGGAGTGTTCAAGGGCCACAGGAGCATGGTCCGAAGGTGGGTGGGCAGAAACAGGAGCCAGGAGGCCTCGAGAATGTCTACCGTTGGGGGAGGATTCTGGCACTTTCTCAGGATGTGGAGTAGGGGACCAGTTGGAATTAGCAGGGAGACCCCAGCTCACATTGGGGTCGTAGAGGAAGAGGACTCCTTCACATACTGCCGATGGGCTAGTGGAAGGGGTCTCATTCACCTTCTTCTAGGAAGTCCAGGGGACCTGCAGCTCAGGCAGCAAGCCCCCTCCACCTACAAACAGCCCCAACTGGAAAATCATCCTCGCTCCGTGCTAAAGCCCTGTCTGGCTGCTGCTGCCCTTCACCCCTTCCATGCTGCACTGCTCGGGGCAGTCACCTTCACATCTCACCAGGACAACCACAGACACTCTCTACACGGGCTCCCCGCTTCTTTCCTCCCCTCCCCCCATGTCTATTCTCAACACACAGGCCAGAGGATCTTTTTAAATGAAAGGTAGATCATGTCCTTCCTTAGCTCAAAACCCTTGTGTGTTCCCATCTCAGAGTAGAAACCAAAGACACCCCCCCCCCCCCCCCCACCAGCAATCTGCTCCAGCCACACAGGCTTCCTTGATATTCCACAAACAAGCCAGGCTCCCATCCCTGGGCCTTTGCACTGGCTGTGCCCTCTGCCTGGAACTCTCTTCCCGTGACATCCACCCCTCGCCTCATCCAAGCCCTTGTGTGGATTCTACCTTCCCACCGAAGCCAACCACAGCTGCACTATTTAATATGCCCCGTCTACCCACTTGTCCTGGCCGATTCTTTTTCTATAGCATTTACCATCTAACATACAGATCAGGGGCTGGTAAACTAGTCAGTGAACCACACCTACCTGTTTTGGATGGCCTGCAAGCTAAGAATGGCTTTCTACATGTCTAAAGGCATATTAAAAAGCAAAACAAAAGAATATGCCACACAGCCCTTTACAGGAAGGTTTGCTGGCCCCTGGTGTAGATAACTTATCACATTTTGTGTCTGTCTCCCCCAGTAAAATGTGAGCTTCACCAGGGCAGTGATCTGTTTCTCCTTCTGCATTTAGGTGCTCTATCTGCAGTACCTACAACAGGGTCTGCACAGAGAAAGCACTTATAAAACATCTAGGGAATGAAGAATAAGCCTCAGTCTCCTCATCTGTGAAATGGGGATTGGAAACACCTGTGACGGGGTTGTGACAGGCGTGAGATGGAGGATGTGAAAGCATTCAGTGCTGCGCACGGCGTGTGGCAGGACATCGGAAAACATCAGTTCCAAATCCCAGATTACCTGGCTGAGAAGCGGTACAGGCCCAACAAAGGTTTGCAGAGCCTCCTCAGTGCCTGTGAGATCGTAGCTTCAGCCCAAGCCAGTGTCTGGTGGGCAGCCTGCAGAGGGAGGGGGCAGTGAGAGCCATCGGGGCTGTCCCCACCCTGGCCATGCCCTGTACCACCCCCTCGGCCCACCTCACCAGCTCCAGGGTGCCCTTCACAGCCCCCAGGGCCACCCCGACGGGCCTCGGCCCCCAACTGCCTGGCATCGCGGGCACCCAGGCCTGCAGTTGCCGCAGGACCTCCTCGGCCCGCTCCCGCCACACCTCGTCCAGGGGCCGCAGTGTCACCTCCTGGTAGGCATCCTTCAGCGTGGCCAGGGGTCCTGCAACAGGCAGTCACCAGTCATCATGAGGCTGCAGGGCTCCTGGCTGCAACAGCACACCACTGTCCCCATGCCAGGCCCAAGCAGGAAAACCAGCCCTGCCCAGACACCCAGGCCTTGAGGACATAGGGCCTATTACCCAGAATAAGGTGGCACAGAGGGAGAAGTAGAAATAAGACAGCGGGCACTAGCGACTGCAGAGTTCACACAGCAGGCCTGAGAATTGTCCCTTGAAAGGCCAACTCCCTCAGCTGGCATCTGGGAACCTGCAGTTTGGAAGGGTTCCCACCATTCCTAGAACTGTGGAGAGGGGCTCACTGTGTCTAAACTGTTTGTGTAATCAATGTGGTTCATGCTGAAACCTGCTGTCCTGCTGGGAGCCTGGAATCTTGCTATACACCTAGCAAAGGGTGCCTGCGTGACCAGCTCCTGATAAAAACCCTGGGCACTGTGTCTCTGATGCGCCTCCATGGTACACAACAGTTGACATGTGTTGTCATGATGCAATGCTTGGGACGCTAAGTGCATCCTGTGGGGCTCCTCAGGGAGAAGACTTGAGCTGGTGCCTGGTCCTCCTGGGCTCCACCCCCTGTCCCTTTTCCCTTTGCTGATCCTGCTCTGAATCTTCTCGCTGTGATCAATCACAGCCGTGAGCGTCACTGCCCTGGGGTGGCCACAGGGACTCGGGCAAAGCAGAGACATGCAGGGGGCAGGCAAGACAACACTTCGCAACCAGCCTAGCACAAGCCAGCCAGCCAAAAAGACGCCTGTGTTGGTGCTGGGAAGGGTCCTGGGGCTCCCGGCTAGGCTGGGCATCAGCCTTGGGGCCCTGGAGTGTGGAGAGGTCAGAGGTTTCCAGCCCCACGAGGAGGGTGCTGGGGGCAGTAGCTGCTTACTAACCAGGACAGAAGCCTTTACCAAGTGCCCAGCCACCCTGGCGCTCAGCATGCAACTGGAAGTAGGCCCTGGATCCTGTGGCAGTGAGCCTCACAGAATCAAAGCTGTCTGCTCAGAAGAAATCAGGCAGAGTACCGAAGAAACTAAGGCAGCAGGCCCCAAAGAAATAAGGCAGCAGGCATAAGGGATATTAGCGTGGAGACGTATAAGAATAGAGACAGCATACCAAAAAGGAACAAAGGCTGTAGGACCCTAAGGAATAAGGCAGGGGAGCCTAAGAAATAAGACGGGAGTCTAAACAAAGTTGGACAGCAGGCCCACGGGAAAGGAGGCAGCCTTTTGGACTGAAATGGTGCCAAGTTGAGGGACTGGGCTCGGGGGCCTCGGAGCCTGGCATGGGTTTGGGTGCAGGGATGTGCCGTCTCTCTCACACTCACGTTCCAGCTCGATCTGCAGCTCTTCCAGCCCCACCTGCAGCCATTCCAGGTAGAGCGGCAGGTGGCGGGTCAGCACCTGCCTGGACTGACTCTGGCCCCACAAGGTGGCCACCGCCTTCGCCTGCACAGCTTCCAGCCCCGCCTGGGACAGCTGCAGGAGGAGGTCTGCCACACCGTCCAGAGTGCCCGCTGGCTGCACCTAGGCAGGGAAAACAAGGCACGATCAGTGTGAGGGTCTGGGGCACAGCACTTCAGACCTTCATGTCCCTGGTGAGAGGGAGCATGGGCCAGGCCAGAGGGGGGCTCTCCACACAGGGCCCCCCGCCCTTCTTGTTCTCCAATAAGGTCTACCCACCAGGTGCTGGAACCTTCTCACATAGGCGTCCAAGCCTCGGATCATCTTCTCCAGCCGGGCTTGCACCTGGGACCCAATTGCTGCAATCCTGGACTGTGGGGACAGAGGAACAGGCTGGGGGCTCCCCTGGGGCCTTGTAGGAATGAAGTGGTACAAGAGGGTGTGCGTACCATGCCTCAGGGCTGTTTGCTCTAGTTTTCTGGGCACTGTGGCCTCGGCCCCGGAGGGAACAGCTTTACCCCCCGTTCCCAGCCTGGCCTTCTCACCTCCACGTGGTCCAGCAGGGCCCCCTGGCAGCCGTGTGCAGCCAGAAGGAGGCTCTGGTTGGCAGCCTGCAGGGTCAGGCGTCCCAGGGGCTGCACAGGCTGCCTGCCGTCCTGGAACAGGAACTCCGCTTCGGCTGTCCGCCCGTGGGCACATGCCCGCAGCACCACACTCTCTTCTCTGCTCCCTGGGGCCAGGGGGGGACCTGCTGTTGCCCCCATGACTTCTCCATCTGCCTCCTACTCCTCCACTCCACAGCTTTCTGTGCTCCCCAGCACCCCAGGTAAAACCTCAAGGCCCTAGGATTTGAGCATCTTGAGCTACATTGACTAAATCGACTTCTGACCCACCTGAAGCCCCTCACCCCATACTCATCTCTGGTGGGCTCAGCCAGACCCTTCTCTGCTGTGGTGACAGCACAGTCAGCACAGATGGTGACAGAAGATCGTCACTGCTGCCACGTTGGGGGTGCCATGAAGTCCCAGTGGGGTTTCCTTTGACTTCTGAGCTGCAAGCCCTGATCTCTGGGCCCTGTCCCAGCTAGCTAGGCTGTAACTTGGCCGCCCTCCCCTTACCCTCCTCCTGGGACACAGAGGCATGAAGGCAGTTCAGAGCCTGGGACATGGACAGCTTCACATTCCAGTTCCTCTTGTCCACACTGCCCTCCAGCTGGACCAGGCTTTGAGAAGCCGAGGCAGAGACACGGCCCAGCAGGCCAACCCGCTGGGACTTGGGGATGCGGAGCTGCGAGGGGAGGGCAGAGGACTGAGTGGGGCCAGGAGCCTGGGGGTCTCTGCCCCTGGCCTCCGTCCCCTGCCTGCCCCAGGCCCAGGAAGGGGCTGGCTGGAACAGAGAGAAAACACGTGCCCACCCCTCACCCCACATCTCCAGGGAAACTAAGACCCCCTGCCCCACACCCCTGCCACAGGTCTCAGAATCCCCACCCACTGCAGGAAGTATTTATGAAAATTCCCATCTGTGAGCCCCTCAACATAGTGGCACCTGCCATCCAGTGGCTTAGAAATGACCAATGCCTAGGCCCCACCCCAGGGACTCTGATTTAATTGGTCCGGGGGACCCCCGGGTTCTGGCATTTTTAACATTCCCAATGCTCAGGTGTTTCTATCTGCAGTCTGCATGAGAACCACTGCAAAGTTCTTAGCAAGTTCAAGACGACATCATAACACCTGACATAAAGCCCCAATCTTTGAGCAGTTTATCCTAATCTAGAAGCACTGATCTAGAAGTAGTGGTGTGGAGGGGAGCCGCTTCTGACCTGGACTCAACTGCCCTGTATTCTAGTTTAGCCACTGCAACTAACAAGCTGTGCAACTCTGAATAAGTGTGTCACCCTCTCTGGGCCTCAGTTTTAACATCTGTAAAATGTTATAGAACAGTTGTTCTCAAAATTTAGCAGGAATCAGAATTACTCTGTATTTGTGTGTGTGTTATGGGTCGAATTGTGTTCCTCAAAAAGGTACATTGAAGTCCTAAACCCCTGTACCTGTAAATGTGACCTTACTTGGAAATAGGTTCTTTGTAAATGTAACCAAGTTAAGAAGAGGTCATACTGGATTAAGGTGGGCCATATATTCAATGAATGCTGTCCCTATAAGGAGGCCAGGTGAAGACAGACGCAGAGATTGGAATGACACAGCCACAAGCCAAGGATTGCCAGCAGCCACCAGAAGCTAGAGACAAGAAAGGATTCTTGCCTAGAACTTTTAGAGGGAGCATGGCCTGCTGACAACTTGATTTTGGACTTCTAACCTCCAGAACTTGCCGTGAGACAATAAATTTCTGTTGTGTAAAGCCTCTCAGATGGTGGTCATTTATTATGGCAGCCCTAGGAATCTTATACGGGGTACCTACTAAAAACATGCAGGTTTCTTCCCCAGTGATTTCCAGATTGGGGTGGGGGTGGGGCCCAGGAGTCCTTATGAGATTCACCAGGTGAGCCTGACTGGGGAGGGGCCTCTGCAGACCACACCTGGGAGTCTTGGCCCTGGGTGGCTTCCTGCTTCTGAGCTGAGCCCCACTAGCTATCACTGAACAGCGGGGTCCCACCGGCCACTGTGTGACTTATGTGAGTGCCTGACCTCCCTGAATCCGTCCCTCCTCTGCACAGGGGCCACTGGCTGGGTGTGAGGACCTAACAAGACTGGGAAGGGCTTCCGTCCACTCCAAGGACCCCATAATGGGGTAAGTGAGAAGGGGCTCAGGGACAGGAAGCAAGAAGAATGGCCACTCGCTGAGTGTCCGCCATGGGCCAGATCCCCCAGGGCTCACTCCCAGACCTCTGATTCCGGGGAGACAGGCATTGGGCACTGGGGCTACAGATGCTGGAGCAGTCAGGGGCCTGGCTGGCAAACAAGGAAATGACAGTCATTCTCAGAGAACAAGAGCCTTAGGAAAAAAAAGCTCTTTTGAAATGGCCATGGCTGCTGGGTTGAGTGAATTCTAAACCCAGAAACCCAATCCTCATCCAGACACCCAGAGGAAGGGCAGTATCAGGAAGGAAACACCCATCTCATGAGTACCTACTATGTGCAGACACTGTGAAAACATCTGTTTTCCTCCTGTCACCTCCATGGCAGGTGGGATTTGTTCCCATTTGGCAGAAGGGAAGACTGAAGCCCAGAGAAGGAATATCACAAGGTCAAGGTCACCCAGGCAGGGAGACACAGGCAGACAAACAGCAATGCTGACAGAACACCTACTTCATCCCTACACTGTGTGGGGGGGGCACCCAGAACTCCACAAACACCCTGCGAAATATCCAATCCCCTCGCACAGAGGAAGCAGAGGCCCAGAAAGGTCCTTTTCCTAAATCCCTAGGCTGGGTGGGAGCAGAGCAGACCTTTGAAGCCAACTCTGCCCCTTCTAACCTCCCTGGGCTGCTGGGAGGCAGGAGGGAAAGGACACTGAAACAACAATAGCTAATAATAGCTAATAACAATAATAAGTAATAATTATAATAGCAAATACTTACTCAGTAGCTGCTTTCTACCAGGCACTGCTCTAAGTGATCTATACGTACTAACACATTTCATCCTTGCAATACTAATCCCATGGGAAGAGGACAGGTGCAATTATTATTACCCATTTTACAGGTGAGAAAACTGAGGTACTGGGAGGTGAAGCAAGTTGTCAGCCAGGAAGAGGGCGGGCTAGGATTCAAACTTGGGCAGTCCAGCCGCTGCCTCTCAGTTATAGGAAGGGCTGGAGAAGCTGCTCTGCCTCAGCACTGGGGCCAGGTCCAGGGACTCAGCAGGTCCTCCCCACAATGAAGGTCTGGCCGTGCCAGGGGCCTTGCAGTTCCTTGGCTGGATTGCAGTTCCAAAGATGGCCACTAGATGGCGGGGCCACACAGACGGTGGGGGCCTGCTGGCCCAGGAGGACCAGCGGGGACGTCAAGGCATCTTCCCGCAGGTGAGCAGCCCCTCCTGCCACCCACCTCCAGCTCCCCGGAGAAATCGGGTGCATGGGGCCTGCTGTGGTTGCGGAGGGTCAGGATGAAGTGCAGGCCATGGTCAGGGTCCGGGGCGAGGCCCAGCTGGCCTTGGGAATGCAGCAGGAGCCCGCCCTGGGCCAGGGTGTGCTCTCCGGAGACCAAGAGGGCCTGAGATGAGAGGTTCGGGAGTCAGCAGGCAAAGAGTCATGGGGGGGCGGCAGCTTCCTCTTCCCACCATCCTTCCCACCAGGACTGTCAAAGCAGCCTCTCAGGTCTCCCAGCCTCCACTCCCACCCCGTCCCACAGCCCTACCTCCACTTGCCAGCTGATGGACCATTGCCTGTGCAAAGCCCCCCTGCCTTTTGCCTGAGTTATCTTCCTAGCCTTGCAGCCCTTGATCCCTCTGTAAGGGCCGCCCTGTGTTCCTCAACCCCCCTAAGCACACTCCTGCCGCAGGGCCTTTGCACGAGCTATTCCCTCTGCAGAGCCTCTGCAGGGCCCCTGCAGTGCCCTCTTCCTGCTCATTTGTTACATCTTCCTTCACCCACTGCAATGTGTGCACCAGGAGGCAGGCACCTGGCCTGTCTCTTCCACTATCCAGGTCTCTGCACCTAGAGCAGGGCCTGGCATAAGTAAAATGCATGAATGTTTTCTGAATGAATAGATGAAACCGTGGCTTGTGGGTCAAATCTGGCTCAGTGCCTGTTTTGGAAATAGTTTTACTGGAATACAGCCATGCCAGTTTATTTACATACAGTCTATGGCTGCCTTCACATGATGGCAGAGCTCAGTAGTTGTAACAGAGACTTTATGGCTCATAAAACCTAAAATATTTATGATCCGTCCCTTTACAGTAAAGTTTGTGACCCCCTGGGGTTGATGGATTGGTGGATGGGAGGAATGAATGGGAAGAAAAAAGGAAGGAGGGAGAGAGAATGGGAAATAGGTGGAAGAATGGGTGGAAGGAAGAGACAATGAGAGGATGAATGGGTAGGAGGGTGGATGAGAGGATGGTGGGGGATGGGTGGGAGTGTGGACGGGG